GAAGATTCGAACCGAACTTCTTAGCCATTGCTACCACCATACAAAAGGATGTTCAACACAATAGATACGTGATTGTTTTGCAATATTTAATAATAATAATAATAATAATAAAATCTTTATTGGCAACAAAAACACTTACATGCACAAACATTGTTGCGTTAGCAACTAGGGCATGTAATATCGGAAGGTTTTCAATTCCGATACTGAATTCCGATATTAGATCTCAATATCGGAATTCCGATATTAATATCGGAATTGAGTTCATGTGCTATAAAATTAATATTTGGTTATATTCGTAAGAATTCTGGATTGTTTACAATAAAATAATGTTGTAATCAAAATCTTTAATTTGGTACAAAACAGCACTTCATAAAATTGAAGTTTTAAAACCATTTTTACGTTATGAGTGTCCATTTCATTTGGTTTTTTATGTGACAAGAGGCAAACGAGCAGACGGATCACCTGATAATGAATGGTTACTGATAATGAGCTTATATGGACTAGCAAATAATTAAAGTGTTTTTGTAAAATCACAGGTATCAAACAAACTTTTACTCCTTCATTATATTACCCTGTTTTATGTTGGCGGAACGAATTTTAGAGTCATTCAAATCACGTGCTACAAAAATTATAGAGAGTGGTAAAAAACTTTAATATGCTTGTAATTTGTTCCTTTTTGATTATCGATGTACAACTCACAAAACCACGGGCCATCATCATCATCATGTCAGCCATAGGACGTCCACTGCTGAACACAGGCTCCGATAATGATTTTCACAATGGCCGGTTGGTGGCGGCCTGCATCCAGCGCCTTCCTGCTACCTTTATGAGGTCGTCGGTCCACCTTGTGGTTATGAGTCCTACGCTGCGCTTTCCGGTACGTGGCCTCCACTTCAGAACCTTGCTGCCTCATCGTCCGTCTGTTTTGCGTACTAAGGCAGAACCGTTGGAAGACCTTATCACAATGCTCGAAGACCTTAATCAAGTTTCCCAACAGGTAGGCCTTCGGATGAATATGGAAAAAACGAAGCTTATGTCGAATGTCCATGTTGCTCCTTACCCAGTTTCGGTTAGGAGCTCGATTCTCGAGATTGTTGACAAGTAAGTATATGTCTATCTCGGACAAACGATCAGCTAGGTAGTTAGATGCAATTTCGAGAAAGAGGTAAATCGTCGAATACGAAGACGAAAGTCTTCAATTAGTGTGTGTTACCAGTGATGATATACGGCTCGAAAACGTGGCCTTTGAATATAGGGCACAACGTGCTATGGAGAGGGATAAGCTTGGTGTTTCTTTACGAGATCTAATCAGAAATGAGGAGCTCCGTAAACTAACTAAGGTCGCTGACATAGCCCGACGGATTAGCAAGCTGAAGTGGCAATGGGCAGGGCACATAGTAGTTAGTACGCAGAACTGACGGTCCATAGTCCAGTAAAATTAATGTTTGAAAGGGAGTTGAGATGTCGTTCTTTGTTGACCAAGTACCTATGGCAAATGCTAAAATTGATTTAGAACAAGTTAAATTAACCATAAATAGTAAAGATATTAAAATATTTGCAGTGGAACAAAAAGTGATGGTGAGAGACATGAGAAAATCATTGGTCTTTGCCAATCATGTACTTTGGGCTTTGTGGCAGGTTGTGGCGAGTTTAAACGCTTTGTTTAAAATCTCAATTAAAACTTTTATCTGATTCCGATATTACGATATTGGGTCGCTCAATATCGGAATTGAAATATCGGATCTCGCAGTCCGAGATTCCGATATTACGAGATTCCGAGATTCCGATATTCATGCCCTATTAGCAACTGCATTAGTCAAGGACTGTGTCGCAGTTGCTAGCGCCCACCTCATACAGGCTGACATTGCAGACTTAAAAGTATTTTTGTTTTAATTTTAGGCTTAATTTTAACTTCTATTATATAAATTAAATAGTTAAGTTTACACATTATTTAGAAGTAGGTACCTAACTGTGAGTGTGTGTGTATAAATTCGTGCTGAGAGTGCAAGTTTCATTATGATTAGATTTATTTCTATTTTGATACCAATTTTATTCAAATTATACATTTACCATTACCACTACTTTATCAAAGTTTCTACTGCGTCATAATCAAGACCAAGAAGCCATTCACTTAAAAGGATTTTGCATTTGAAAGTGGGAAGGGAGTAGATGTGAAGTGCTGCGTTTACTTTGTTGTATAAAGAAGATGAAATGCAGTCAAAATGGTGCTTAGCTAATACAATTCTACTTATGACAGTGTCACAAATTCTATCCTTTCTTCTTTTGCCTTCCAGTAAAGCGGGACTATAAATAAGAAGCTTGTGCTTACGGAGTACAACGTTTAAAACAAATAATTTGCGTACTGAAAGAATTTCCCAGAAATCATGTATCGTCCTGGTGGGATATCTGATAGGCTATTATAAAAAAAATTATAGATATATAATAAAAGATAGATAGATATATATTAAAAAAACCCTAATAATTTTCCCTATCGCTATCGGAGCATGAATTATACTAATTAATTGAATGTTATAGTTAGCGTTATCAAATTGTATGTTATTAACCCATTTGCATTTTTATCAACCATAGTATGGCAAAACTGAGCAATTAAATAATTCGGGTCACTTAATTAATCCTATTGTTAACGTTTTGGCAAATGACGATAATTGTCGCTTAAAGTTAAAATATTCTTTGATGGCTCTTTTAAAACCATTGTATTCAAAACAAGTGAAAATGTAGTATGTGACCAAACTAGTTACAAAATAGAAAGTGGTTTATTACCATTCATTGAACACTATTGGTCGACTACATGTGTTTAGAATAACACTAATAGCTAAAATCTTTTAAATTACCCAACATGTAAACATTAAAAAAACTTGAATATAGTGCGTCAAGTTAAATATGTACTGCCCTGAGGGATCTTTTGCACTTTAGAATACCTAGATGTGATTTTGCAAAAAAATAAAATTTGGTCGCAACTTGTCGTTCACAAAGCAAGGGTTAATAAATATATTTTTTTTGTAGAGGCACTTTTTGTGGATTCGCAATATTGTTTGAACGACCTATTGTCCTACTTAATATTTGTTTATTTAAACAACATTCGTCCGAGGTCGTGATATGGTCGTTATCAAGGAACAGCGGTAAAACTTTTAAAACGCAGACCACGATAAGTGGTTACTGTATTGTATGTAAAATAACGGCACGATCAAAAAGTCTAATGGACTTACGAGTGTTCCTTTATTGTGCTATATTTATTTCGTTGTTCCGCCCACCAATTTGTCATTGTCAATGTCTTTAACGTGAACTGGAAAAGATGAAAGATAACAGCAGCTTTTATTTTGATTAATTAAGTAATTTTAAAACGATTTACATAGTGGCTATTGTCGTCATATTGCATTGCTATGATTCGGTAAATGATATTGGTACCTACCTATTGCCTATTGTCGTCATATATGAGTTGTCCGATTTGTTAAGAAACTTAAACCTCGGTGATGGCGAACAGGAAAAATGTATGCTTATTTACAATAAACAGATTTTTTTTTAAACTAAGGCAAACTTAACTCTAAACAAAATAAAAATATAAACTTATTGATTACTCAAAAATAAAAGTGTGTCCGTGAGGCAAAGAGGCGAGGATGCTGGCTGCATTTCCTCGCTGAATGCTTTTAAACCAGCGATTTGCCATAAATGCTTTTATATCAGTCAATATTCCTTACCTTTGTCCTCTTGTCTATTATTTTACAATACCTACTACACAATATTAATTAATTCGCCTCTTCTTTTTCAACGAAACGACGTTCACTACTGAAAATGTCCTCTCCAAGGATTCCTGTCCTGCGCTGTCTGTATCCAGGCGCTTTGCGCAACCTTCAGAGTTATTGTCGCAATATCATTTCTGTGAATGATGTTCAGTGCACATAAACTCAATCATCAATACTTCAACCTTATTTACAATGAGAGACATTTTTATCGAGTTATAACCATATGCAAGTCGATGATATAATGTAATGTCAGACGTTCTCGCTCGTTATCTGACCTCGATATTGCCTCCATATGATGTTATGCAAGCCAATTTTAAACAAACCACATCTGGTGTATGTTAATTGGCCTGATCCCGTTTATACTTTTACAATGTCTACGTTTCCTTCTTCACTTACGTAACCCGCTCCTGATGTTTATGTGAGTATGTGTATAGTTCTTTTTCGACGATTTTGTACAGCAACAATCTAGAATAATAAAGATCTGATGGAAATGTTCCATTAAAACTAACTGCAAATGGATTGTTGAAAACACAATCCATTGTGCAGCGCGACATCTGTTAAACATGTTTCTTAATCTACATGAATCGCGTGAGACATTAGCATCTCTATTAATATCCAAAACATATTTGTCCTTGCAATAAATTGCTTCGAAGAAATTGCATTATCCGAGGATTTTGACCTTGTCTGCCATCGATTGGATTCGTCTTTAAAGTTCGTTGCATCTCATATTCTCGATACGAGATGAACGGCCGATTCAGTCAGACGTCTGCCGGAGCACTGAACCTGTACCCTGAGCTCACCTTTCGTCTTTGATAATCGTCAACAAAGTACTTTGAACTGTAGACATTATTTTGTCAGAGAGATCTTTGATCAGATAACTAGCGGGCAGTTTAAAATTAGGCAACGCTTTGCTGGATTTTATAGCCTTTTCTAGAGTTTTTATAAATATGCAACTTTTCAGAAAACCTACCTTTATGTATTCAGCTGTACGTTTTCCAGTTGTATAATTTATTAATTGAATGCATTACCGTTATTAATCTATGACACGTATATGTGGGGATCCCAATTCCAATGTCATTCTCATTCATTTAACGAATTAATTAGCGTGAGAGTGGAATTAACCATGCCTTATAGCATTTTAGACTATGTTACGTTTTATTGGTCTACTTATTCTATTTCACTTTGATTACCCAGATGATCAAAGGACTCCAATCAACACTTTAGTGTCATTTGTCAACCATGGATAAGAAGTCAAAGGGTGATCAAATGACACTAAAGTGTCACTTGAAGTCCACTTTGATCACCTGGGTAATCAAATCCAGGTGATCAAAGTGAAATAGACCCTTTTGATCTATAACTGCGACTTCTGAGCAATACTTGACAATCTCTTTCTTCCGCAGCTCCTCGGTCTGGCCGTGATCGGCGTGGGCGTGGCGTTCCTGCTTAACTGGGCGCCGATCAAGCAGGAGCTCCAGACGCACCTGACGGTGGCCCCGTGGGTGTTCATCGTGATCGGCGCCATCATGTTCGTGATCGCCTTCTTCGGGTGCTGCGGCGCCATCAGGGAGAGCCACTGCATGGTCGTTACGGTGAGTTTATGATTGGTATAGTTGCAACAAGCAGGAGCCCCAAACGCACCTGACGGTGGCCCCGTGGGTGTTCATCGTGATCAACGCCATCATGTTCGTGATCGCCTTCTTCGGGTGCTGCGGCGCCATCAGGGAGAGCCACTGCATGGTCGTTACGGTGAGTTTATGATTGGTATAGTCGATCAAGCAGGAGCCCCAGACGCACCTGACGGTGGCCCCGTGGGTGTTCATCGTGATCGGCGCCATCATGTTCGTGATTGCCTTCTTCGGCTGCTGCGGAGCCATCAGGGAGAGCCACTGCATGGTCGTTACGGTGAGTTTATGATTGGTGTAGTCGATCAAGCAGGAGCCCCAGACGCACCTGACGGTGGCCCCGTGGGTGTTCATCGTGATCGGCGCCATCATGTTCGTGATCACCTTCTTCGGGTGCTGCGGCGCCATTAGAGAAAGCCACTGCATGGTCGTTACGGTGAGTTGGTTGAAGTAGAAATAGCGATTGATGACAGACATTCGCTAATGCCACCCGCATGCCAGCTTATGAATAGGAAAATAAGACAAGAAGTGCAGAAAAATTGGTCCTACTACCATATTAAAGTGATGACTCTACTCAAAGTGGGGAGTGTTTTTTTATGCATAACACGGCAGGTATTTGACCGCAATTGCACATGGAAATGATCTGATGATGATAATCGATTTTTTTCCGATGACCAGTTCCAATCGTTCTTTATTGATTGATCCTTTTCTAGAATAATTTGCTATAAAATATTCTAAAGCTAAAAACCTTTTTATGTTAAAGCAATTAGGAAGCAATAAGTAATAATAATAAGACGCAGAGGTCCCGGGTTCGATTCCCAGTGGGGGCAGAATTTTGTGTTCGGTTTGGTTGATGGTAGGACTTGTTCCAAGTCCGCCTGACTAGCTACCACCATCTTACCTAAGTCTGTCGCCATAACAACAAACAGTATTGTTGTGTTCCGGCAGTTAGAGGTAAGATAGCCAGTCCCTCTGTTTTTGAGGATTCCGGGTGAAGCTCGCTTCCACCTTCGGCCTGATCGTCACTTACCATCAGATGAGATACAGGCCAAGAGCTTTCTCGTTGTGGATAAAAAAAAAAGTATTGTCTCTTTACAACAAGAAATTCGAAGCTTGATCTGATCCAAAACATGTTTTATTCCAGTACGCGATCTTCCTGCTCGTGATAATCATCATGCAAGTGATCCTGGCGGTGCTGCTGTTCACGTACGGAGACAGCATCAAGGACGGCCTGAAGAAGGGCATCGACGGGCTCTGGAACAAGCGCCAGCACGACCCGGCTACCAACGAGGTCTTCAACAGCATCCAGGCTCAGGTTTGTACCTTCAAAGGTCTATGGCAGCAGTTCCCAAACTTATTTTGTCTACTGCCCACTTTGAGAATAAATTCTTTTGAGCGCCCCCATTAAATTTTCAAGAGTCAAATGCTCAGTCGGTGTCTAAGAGACCTCCTAAGTAGATGAAATTACAAATGGCCTACCAAGCCTCTACACAATGCCCCGATTTTTTTCCGGGGTCTCTTACCGCCCCTTTAAGCCTGCAGCGCCCACAAGGGGGCGTTATCGCCCACTTTGGGAAAGACTGCTATGGCAAGGCTGGCAATAGATTTTCCAGATGAGCAAAATTTCTTAGATTGTGGCGACGCCGGCCCACAGCTTTTTGAAAATCAAAGCAAAAGCAAAACTAAATTCATAAGGCCATATTTTATACCACCGCGCGCCGGCTAACTTTGGCTGGCGGGCAAATTCAAATGCCTTGACGTGGCCGAGTTTGGCCAGGCTTGGTCTATGGGGATAACCTGTTGCTATATGAATCTGATTTGAATGACTGAGCGAAGGACGAAGGTCGAGGGAATCTTTCATAGGAAAATCAAAACGGTTAAAAAAATATCCACATCGATCTGAAAACCACCATAAACTTGATTTTTACCACTTCATCACTTCAGATAGACTTCTTTGGTTACTTTGCTTTGGGTCTGTGGGCTAGCTTGAAAAACAATTTTTTGCGGGCTTATACATTTAGGACGTGGGACTATAAGAATGAAATTTGAGGAACTAATAATAATGTCCAGCAGTATCTCTTTGAAAAATCATGCTCAAACAGAAGCGTTTTTAATTTATGTTGTCTCAAAAGGTTGCAAAAAACGTCTTCTCATTGTAGTCAATGCTTCATGGTGTTTGATCATGACTAGCGAGTCCCATACGACGATGCTTATCGGTTATGCGAGAGGTTTCCCACAACTACAATAGTGGCTGCGTAAAGTGATACGCACGCATATGCATGTGATTTCCCATAATAACTCCAAGGGTGGGAACATTTTCATCTGAGATCGTTTTGTCAAACTGTAGATTTGAAGATTTGTCTTCATGTGTAGGAATTTGCAGTTCCTCTCTGCAGTTGGTTATAAATACAACATTTTTCTTAATCGTCGACATGAAATATTCATCATCATCTCAGCCATAGGACGTCCGCTGCCGAACATAGGCCCCCAATGCTTTCCATGTTTCCCGGTTGGTCCTGCGTCCAGCGCTTTCCTGCTATCTTTATGATGTCGTCGGTCCACCTTATGGTTGGATGTCCCACGCTGCGTTTTCCGGTACGCGGCCTTCACTCCAGAACCTTACTGCCCTATCGGCCATCAGTTCTGCGTACTATGTGCCTTGCCCATTTCCACTTCAGCTTGTTAATCTGTCGGGCTATGTCAGCGACTTTAGTTCGTTTACAGATCTCCTCATGAAACGGATACGGATCGACATGAAATATTATTTGTAAAATAAATCGATTAAATTAAATGAGCCGATACTGCACGCATTGGTCGTAGATTTCACTCGCCCTGACCCCGGCCCGACTGTCGAGCTATTATCATTTTTAATCGCCTATCAAGGCTACAGTTTTTTGACCCGTGACACATTGATAAAGTGACCTCACAATGCAATAACAGATAGGTTTATCGTATATCAGATAGGTAGATCACTAGGAAAGAGCATAATAGACACAGACAGTTTTCAAAAATTCCAAGGCTTACTAAACTCACTTAATGTGATGCCCTGGGAAGTTATTTTTTGTCGTTTGTCAAAACGGGACTATTCTCACCTCTCACCTGCTCACCATTCACTGGTTATTCTAGTCTAAAGCCCGGTCTCCGAGCACGTAGAATGTTGTCCAATGACCCCAAGCTGCCCATCTTTATCGCTCGCGCGTAATTATGTTGCTGTAGCGCTTGTACACTCACTGCGGGCGCCCGTAGCACAGTCGCGACAGCAATATAATTACGCGGGAGCGATAAGGATGGGTAGCTTGGGGTCATTGGACGAAATTCTACGTGGTCGGCGACCAGACTATTTTATAGTAAAGCTTTCTAGACAAAGTAACGAACGTGATAGTACCGTGAGGTGTCGTGTAGTAACAATAAACCTCGTCTTCCAGCTCAAGTGCTGCGGTAACGACGGCGCCTACAATTACGGATCCGCCACTTTGGACAAGAGCTGCTGCGATATGGAATCGTTCGCGGGACAGACTTTGGGCTGCACCATCGCCAACGCCAACACTGGCTGCCGGGAGCGGATCGCGGACCTGTACGAGAAGTGGAACAAGCCCATTGCCGGCATCGCCATCGGTATCGCCTGTATTGAGGTGGGTTTTACAAGCTACTATAGTCTGGTCTGCGACTACGTAGAATTTTGTCCATTGACCCCAAGCTACCCATCCTTATCGCTATCCTGTTGCTGTCGCGCTCGCACTAGGGCATGCAAAAACCGAGCGGTTTGGAAAAACCGGTTTTTTCGGTTTTTATTTTTAAAAACCGAACTAAACCGGGTTTTTCGGGTTTTTCGGGTCGACTGTTTGTAAGTAAATAAAAATGCTGCAAATTATAATAAAAATCATTTTATTTCTTTTATATTCTAGTTTGACAAGAAGAAGTTACATGTTCTGAACATAATATTGTGAGATCAATTGAATAGTTTAATTGAAAATCAAATATAAAGAGATCAACAATAGGATACTTCGCTCATTAGCAAAGCAAAACCTTTGGTCAGGACTTCTTGGCGGGAATCTGAAGCGTCATGTTAGCGGTTTTGCGGGTAGGGCGTAACATGGACATTCGACATAAGCTTCGTTTTGTCCATGTTCATCCTCAGGCCTACCTGTTGGGAAACTCGATTAAGGTCTTCGAGCATTGTGCCAAGATCTTCCAACGATTCTGCCCTGACTACAATATCGTCGGCAAACCGAAGGTGAGTGATGTACTCGCCATTAATGTTTATGCCGAATCCTTTCCATTCCAGGAGTTTGAAAGCGTCTTCCAATGCAGCGGTGAACTGAACAGTTTCGGAGATATAACATCTCCCTGCCTAACGCCTCGCTGCAGTGGAATCGCCCCCGTGCTCTGCTCCTGTACTCGGACCGACATGGTGGCGTTTTTGTACAAGCACTTCAGCACCTCGATATACCGATAGTCAATACGGCACCGCTGGAGAGATTGTAACACTGCAAGTTATACTCCTCAGTCTTCTGTATAACATGCCGCAGCGTATGGATGTGGTCTATGGTACTATAACCTTTTCGGAATCCGGCTTGTTCGGGAGGCTGGAAGTCATCGAACCTACGCGCGAGACGGTTCGTGATGACTCTCGAAAACAGTTTGTAGACATGACTCAGAAGCGAGATGGGTCTGTAATTCTTCAGCAAGGTCTTATCACCTTTCTTGAAGAAGAGCACCACCACGCTTCTGTTCCATGCCTCTGGCGTAGTTCCCTGGAGTAAGACGGAGTTAAAGAGTCTCTGAAGGACTTTCAGTATCGGTGTTCCACCCGCATTCAGAAGCTCCGATGTTATTCCGTCATCACCCGGTGCCTTGTTGTTCTTTAGCTGTTTGAGAGCCATCCTAATCTCGTATAGGCTGATGTCCGGGATATCTTCGGTATAGTGTCGAGTTAGCTTAGCTCTTGGATCTGAAGTTGAGCTATCAACGGGTTTGGTGACCGAGGTATATAGCTGTCCATAAAACCTCTCGATCTCACCCAGAACCTCGGCTTTTGTTGACGTTACACTACCGTCCGCCGTCGTTAGCTTCGTCAGCTGGCTTTGCCCAATAGAGTTGTCTCTTGCGAACACTTTGGAGCCTTGGTACCGCTTCCACATTGCATTACAATAATTGTTTTTATTGATATGACTAAAGAAGCGTGTTCTTGTATGAGTTATTAAATTATCTAAAATCGTAGAAGAAAAACCGAAAAAACCGAAAAACCCGGATTTATAACTGACAAAAACCGAGTTCCAAATTGTGTCGGTTATCCGGTTTTTTCGGTTATCCGGTTAACCGGTTTGCATGCCCTAGTTCGCACACTCACTGCGGGCACCCGTCGCACTATAATTACGCGCGAGCGATAAGAGGAGCGATGGGTAGCTTGGGGTCATTGGACAAAATTCTACGTGCTCACAGACCGAGCTTTATAAACTCCATTTCCTAATTTTTTCCCCATAAGGTTGCACGCGTGTCTCACTTCAATTTATCTTTAAAGTTCCCAAAATCCTTTCTCAAAGGATGCTAACATTATTCAATAAAAATATATCCCATCTGTATTAAGGTGAATTAGACAAGCTCGATGTTGCCTGCCTCCTATTTTCCCTACTTTCCCCTTAAGGACGAAAGTTCTAAAATTCAGCTCTATCAACTTTGAATACGCCCACGATAAGTAGCAAAAAATTATGGAACATGTCACAATGTGAAAGCGCTTTGTATAGCCTGACCAGGAACATAAAAACCCTGGCATAGAGGCGCGTCAATTGCATTTGATAGTGCAACACTGTGTACAGTTGTACCTGTATTAAATTAAATAAACAGTATCTGGATTCAGGATTACGGGCTAATTTGATATTTTCATAAATTAACGAAAAAATATTATTACAGGTAACCTAGTTTAAATAAATTAAATGAAACCATCAATCGAGTTAGTAGGATTTATTTTATTATTCATCAATAATCAAATTCAGAACTTGAATATTCAACTGCAATGTCTGCTCATGAACGCTTCAAACTCGGTACCTACTTCTTTCCCAATTCCATAAAATTCAACACTTAGAAAGTGACAAAAAACTTTAAAATAGGTAGTTGAAACAAACCACAGCTAATTTTCATAGTGAACTGTACTATACGATAAACATGTCAGTCAATTTGACAACCTTTGTCGAAAACATTATTCAATGAAAATATTGTCCGAACCCTTAGTATTTCTCTTCGACAAATACTTTAACACTTTGTGAACCACTTTTCTTTCACGACTATAAAAAGATTTTAGCAATTTAATTCACAAAATCAATTGCGCACATTTAAAATAAAGTTTGTTTACACTTTGACAGCAATAGACTGACATGCAAGGTGACATGTCAATGAAGTTTTCAGTTACTGTTGCCATTAAAAGAAATTAGTACCATTAGTTTTCCGCAACATGGCGAGGGTTTTTATGTTCCTGGTCAGGCTATAAAAGCCTATTTGCAGAGAATGCATTAATTTTATACGACTCTCTAGATTTCAGTGAATTAATGGCATTTGTTATACAGGGTGTCTAAAAAAACGTGTTTTGTATTCGATTGAAACATGATCTTTCTCTTTGAAATTAAAAACTTGACTTGCATCAAGTTGTTCAAACAAATTGCGTAACGTTTATAATCGAAAAATACTTAAAACATATTTTAACCATCCAATATTTTTGTAATTTCCAGGTGGTCGGAGCCCTCTTCTCGCTGTGTCTCGCCAACTCGATACGAAACATGGACAGAAGGTCTCACTACTAATATTTTGTACATTTAAACTGGTACCTATGAACACATTTTTTTGGTTATTTACTGACTTACTAACACCTACGGGTATGTCGCTGCATGAATGGACGAAGTTGCGCTCGCATTTTAAATATTTTTCATATTTATTTATCAGCTTGTCTAGAACTAGCTATCTACTTCCTTGGAATTGATATTAATTGAACAGTTAAATGAATAACATATTAATATAAACTAGTTATTAAAGTATTCCCTGTTAAAATCCCGTTATTTAAAATGACGAGCGCATAGAAAGCATTGTTATTTTTTTTAATCAAACAACACACTTATTTTTTGTTGAAGACCGCGCCCTACTTCTTTTATTAGTTATTTTTGGTTACACACGCTTTATTTTATCATCTTTTATATTAAAATAAAATGATAATTAAAATATTTGTGGTCTACCCTTTAGTCTTGCTAAGGAGTAACGGGCGAAGTCTACGATAAAACAAATAACTTGGTAAGTACTAAACGTCCGTGAGTTTTACTTGACTACAAGCACTATTGCACAATGCATTTATTTTGGCATTTTATATAAATCGGCGCTATAACGCGACGTTTGGTGCCTTTTCACGATTTAAAGGGTTTAGTAAAGGGGACTGTTTATTAAATTTTCGGTCGCCCAAAAGTGGAACTCAATTTTGAAACCTATCACAGGCCTGAATCTTCTCTTAATAATAGATTTGGTTTATTTCTATTTCATTATAACGTTTTTTGTTTGATGGAAATCACAATACAAGGTAGTCAATTAACACTCATGCCGCAATGCTTTCAGTGTTGTATTTGGGATAAAATCTTCGAAACGAATATTAGATATTTTCAGCTTAGTATTAATTAATTGATTGATGTATAAGCTAATTTGGGCTTTACTAACATTATTGTGTGCTAAACGTGTAAAAGGCGTTAAAATTAGAAATCAGTCGTCTTTCTGTAATATAGCCTAGCTAGCAGCTAAAGTTACAGTTCAAACAAGAAAGGTGATAATTTTGTAGAAAGCAATAAGGTGAAAGGCTTGTTTTCTACTAAGTCGTCTGTGGCACTGATAAATAATTCAACAAACAGACGGTCTGTTAATAATGACTTTGTTTGTGGCGAATCAGCCTCATTTATGAATATGACTTGTAATCTCGAAAATAAATCTCGTAGGATATACAGGGTGAGTTTTTGAGATCCTGGTTGGTCACATAAACTTATTGATATTGAATTTGGTATTAAAAAATCTGAAGGGTTTTATTTAAATAGCAGTTGATAGGTAGAAGTATGAACACTATTCAGCAGATTATAGGTATTTGACTTATTACATAGTGCACATTTCGAGATCAAACAAAATCAGCCACCCTTGACATTTTCTAAGTTATTCGTGTCTTGTTGGACTACTGTAAAAAGTGTTAGGTAGTGTGCAAAATACCTACTTACTATCGATTTCTAGCACTCAAGTATTTCATAAAACTGATTGATTTTACCTATTTGAATACAAAATTACAAAGCCTCTCAACTTTATCATCAAAGATTCACCCTGTATAAGATTTAAGTTGTAAAATCGGTACAAAAATAAAATTATAAAATTGCTTCTAGTTTTGATATTAAAAATCAAAAGGCATATACTTTTAATATTGATACTAACTTATTGCATTTCACATCAATTTCTTTCGTGAAATGTTAATCGTATTTAAAAGTGAATTTTCACTGTATTTTGTTTGTGTTAAGTTCATTATTATACTGTCTGTCTATTTTTATAGGTCTTTTAAATATTCTTGTGATAAAAAGAGTAATTCTTGAATAATATAAAATAACGAAGATTTACGTGATTATTAGGAAGAACAAATTAAATGTGCTATAATATCTCTATAGTAATATAATGTAAAAGTAGATTGTTTTTGATGATTATACCGTTAAATCTATGCACAATGTATCTTTGCCTTCTCTTAATGTGTGTACTAAATAGTGCCAAATTGATTACGACCTAGCTCATCTAAGGTACAAAAGGCACGATATTAAAAGATAATTATTTTAATAAATTGTCCGTTAAATTAAGAGTCGTATTATGATAGAACGTTAAATTTAACATTTAAATTTGTACTCAATAAAGACGTGTTTAACAAATTTTAATGTTGTTTTAATTTAGTTTTTATTAACTCCATTTTAACAACTGGTCTGGTAGGGATGGGCACCTTGCACCTTGAAAATTATGGCATGCACCAAGTAAGTATATTTTTGCAAATTAAATACTCACAGATTACTAACATGCATGCAATCGTTTTCGTTGTAATTTAATTTTGTTGTAAGTAATAGAAAGTTTGCGAGGATCACATTATCAATTACTTAGATGACGCCATGGTTTATTTAAAATAAAATTGCCTGATTGGCTAAAAGTCCATTAGACTCCATATCCTCTACCCTTTTTCGTATTGATAATACAGGGTGTTTAATAAAAAAACATTTATAAGTTTCATTTTTTTAAATCGATCCGCGTACGCAAGCTAATATTTCTATTACATTGGTTTGGTTTGGTTTAATTTCAATGTGTGTGTATTCTTTAATAATTCTTTCCAATGGTACCAGAACTGAAAAAATGTCTTTGAAATGTATGCTCTTATAGATTTCATTTTTAATTCAGTTAATTTATTAATTTAGGCTAACTAATTGTCATAATATTAATGTATTTTTTATGATTACAGGTACGTATAAAGCGATGGCGACACGAAGCAAACATTCGATTAAGAACAATAAAATTATGAGAATTACAATGTCGAATATTTTATGTATATTATTATATTATTAATTGACATTTACAAGTTATATTGTTAGTCTGATCTAACGCTCACCCACCAAATGTTTTGCAAATGAATAAATTAAAATACAAGATTTATTAAAAAATAACAAGAATAAAAATCCGTATACAAATCGAGCATTCTCAAAGCAAAATATAAATAAGTTTTATTGTTTCGGAGTTGTAACTAAGTATCTAATCTAAAAGATGTTTAGTAAGAAGTACATAGTATAGTGTGCCTTTAAAAATAGCCATATCTATTATGTTATACCTGCAAAACGATTGTTACATTTATTTTACGAAGTTGACCTTAGGTGTAGATCGAAATCTACTAACACCAGGGGTGGGCCAACTTTTCCGTGGGTCATCCAACGACAGTTCGAAATCGTTGCTGAACCAAATTTTAAACCTTTTTAGTCTGCAGATAGCAGGCTGACTTTGCCTACCCCTGGGAAAGTCTTGTATCATGAAACGACTCAAAACTCGATTCTATTTTTAAGTGTAGATTCACAGTTCAGCGCCGTTTCATTATACAGGCTCATCTGAAGATGCGCTGTACCTACCATTTTAGATTATAATTAATTTTAAAGTTCTTTTTTTTGTTAAACAACATTTAATCTAAATTTTAAGTAAGTATCGTTAAGTTACATAGGAGACTGTAATATAACAAAACTACAGACATTACAAGTATTTTCTTATTTCAACTGTAAAAGTTAAACGTCCATTAAGCCTACATGTAATTTAATTATTCTACTAAAATTTAATATTTGTAAATGCATTTCTATGTGGTATGTGATTATAGTAAGTGTTTTTCTCATTCATATTATTATGTAAATAAGTAGTAACTGAAGTTATTGGGAGCAAACGTTTGTTTATTGAATTTTGAATCTCTTGTGCATTTCCGATGAAACTGCTTTATGTGGATGAATTTTACATCAATAAATTTTCTACTACAATCACGATGTTTTTCTAGAACCTGGCCATTAAATTTTTCTGAAATTCCCGCCCTGCCTATTTGCATCTGAATGTAGCTTTATTAAAACAGTACCGAGAGAAAAATAAGAATTTAAAATAAAAATTGAAGGTTGAAAAACACTGGATTAGAGGAACCCACGAAGTTTGTCTTGCCCTCTCTCTACCAAACACCCTGTATAAATTGTCATGAAATAAAATTGGCTGGTACCGAAACAGGCATTAAAGTTTGAGGACCTATGGTCCACTAAAATAAGTTTTCTAGTAAAATCAAGTCAATATAATATGTATTTTCTCTCATGTCTTAAATAATCAAGTTCAATCCTTTCATTGAAGTAATATTACTACGTATAGAACAGACATCGCGAACAAAATATGTACAGTGCGGGGTGCGGGGCGGGAATTTGACGGACAGCTGTCAGTCAAATCCATGACTATCAAGTTTCATAATTTATGGCGATAAAATCTGCACCAGAAAATGTCGTACTACATTGATAGGATTGCACGAATAGTGACGTTCCTGCGTTCGCCTCATCATAGACATTGTGAATCGATTGTGAAAATAAACAAATCGGCTAAATTGTGTTAAATTTTCATGGTGCTCAATAGCAAAAAGGTTCAGCTACTTAGCCAGAGTTGCCTCGCAATCAAATTCAAGTATTGGTGATGTTATTGATTTGGATTCTGTTTTTGACTCCAAGAAAAGTTAAACTAAAAGCACTACTGCGCCGTAAACAAATGTTTTGTTGTCGATATGTTTACATAATAAAGAACCTTAAGTTTCTTTTTTGTTTTACTTGGCATTCTAAAATTTATATTCGAATTTTGTAATTGACTTTTAAATAACATATTATACCTACATGTAGTATATTACACTATTTAATAGAAATAAATAATCATCTACACTTAGTTACTTCGGAGTAAAAATTAAATTCATAGGTAGGTAGGTACTATCTATGCCTATGGCCAGTCATGTCGTCTCGTTCTATCGCAAAGAATCACCATTTGATGAGAGCGAGAGCAAAAACGGAAATGGATAGTTAATACTGTGGCCGTGTGTACTTATTTCACTTACTTATTTTTTACTTGTTTAACATCTCATTAAAAAATTACATAATTTTACCCCGAAAATGGGGGTGTCACACGGCGCTAGTAACACTAAAGGGGGTAGAGGGGCGCGGGAGGGGAAGTATTTTGGACACAAGTTGCCGCGTAGAAATGTTATCGAACACTCCTTCTGGTTTGTTCTGTATTCTGAGAGGATGGCATATTTCAAAAAACAAAACTGCACTCAAGCGTGTTGTCACAGCAACCGCTGAGCACATACTAATTGAATTTCGGTCCATGGACCTGTTTGCGTGCCAGAAACAGTCTAGTTGACATGTCTTCTCTAGTACGTAGTACATTATAACTCAATGAATCCTTTGCACGTTTTTCCGATTCTGGCATGATGAAGCAAACATTGGATGCTTAAAACGGAACGTTTCACAGCTGACAGCATTCGTAGCTGTCAGTGTCACTGTTTGTTGACGTTGACACTGTTGACGGCTCATGTCATTGATGTCATTATTTCGATGATCATACGTTTGTTGAAGCACGTCGGCCTCTTGCTTCCTTTTCGGTGAATTAAAATCCTACTTTCACTCCATTGTGTATCGTGAATAACAACGGTTCTAAATGTGCTGTGAGAGAACTGATCTTATTTCGATATTCCTCTAAGTACACATGCCATGGCCGTAGCCATACCCGTAATGGCTTACAAAAAATATTGTGTTGTGTTTATAATTTTCGCTCTAGCGATAGTGCAGGCCGTGGGTTACGACACGGAGTTGTATGAAACAAAGCCTTGCGATAGCAACGTGTGCTTCGAAGCCCTGCACGGGGCCTTGGGCGACTGCTCGTGCAACATCGATACCATAGACTACTTCAACAACGTGAAGATCTTCCCACGCATCCAGAGCCTCGTCAGCAAGGACTACTTCCGTTTCTACAAGGTCAATTTGAAAAAAGAATGCCCTTTTTGGGCGGACGACAGCAGGTGCGCTATCAAGTATTGCCACATCAAAACATGCTCCAAAGAGAGTGTGCCTGGATATGCTAATGGATACGAAAACGAGCACGAAGATGAGGCGCCGGCCGTCAAGTATACTAAGGAAGCGCAGTCAGGGTGCAGCAACGATCCAGATCTAGACTTGGATCTAGGCTATTTGAACATGACCATAAGTGCAGCCAGTCAATATGAAATTGCTAAGTGGAAAGCCCATGATGATGCCTTAGAGAAGTTCTGTGGAAATGATGACAGAGATGCTGATGCTGACTATGTTGATCTGTCTTTGAATCCTGAGAGGTACACTGGCTACAAAGGTCCCTCAGCTCACAGAATCTGGAGGAGCATTTATCAAGAGAATTGCTTCCGTCCCAAATTGAATCCGTATGAATCTTTCCCTTATGTTCTAAGTACTGATCTGAGCAACATGTGCCTGGAGAAAAGAGTATTCTACAGAGCTATATCAGGTATGCACACAAGTATTAATATTCATTTGTGTTCCAAGTATTTGCTCTCTGAAAAAAGTGTTGGATTCGCTGCACCGCCAGAAGGAGAGTGGGGTCCTAACGTAGAAGAGTTCCAAAGACGTTTTGATCCCTCGCAAACATTTGGGGAAGGGCCCAATTGGCTCAAAAATATCTACTTTGTTTATTTGTTGGAGATGCGTGCCCTGGCTAAAGCTGGTCCATATTTAGAGAAAGAAGAGTATTTCACAGGCAACCCTACAGAAGATGAGGAAACCCGGCAGGCTATCAAAAACATGCTCGGTGTCATATACAGTTTTCCAGATCATTTCAATGAGTCTTCGATGTTCAGCGGAGGCAGTCAGGCTGCTAAATTGAAAGAGGAGTTCCGAGAGCATTTCTGGAACATATCAAGGATTATGGATTGTGTGGGTTGTGATAAATGCAAATTGTGGGGCAAGCTGCAGACTCAAGGGCTTGGGACTGCCCTAAAGATCCTGTTCTCAGCCAGATGGGACAACCCTGAAGGTGACCTTGAGCAGGGAGAGTTCCCACTGAAGAATAGAGTGCAGCGGCTGCAGAGAACAGAGATTGTAGCACTGTTTAATGCATTTGCTAGATTGTCAAATAGCATAAGAGAGCTGGAGAACTTCAGGATAATGCTCAGGTAAGACCACCTCTTGTTTTTTTTATTTGCACCTGCACATTAAAATTCTACTAACCTAGGCCTGTTTCATGTCCACAGTCAGACATTAATTTATCATTAAAGCTCCATAATTTCATAAGAATTCATTTTACTGTTACTGTGCTAGATTATGACATTGGCACATGTTGATGTGAAACAGGTTCATAATTACATACTAATGGGTGGTTACTAAATTGGTTTGCTCATTTAAATACACGTATTTAGTGTTTTGTTGGGTGCTTGCCATTTTCCTTATTCTTATTATAATAGTTACAAAAATAGAAAGGAATGAAAAACAAACTTGATTTTGTTAATGAATATTGGTTGATCTACCTGATTGGGTAAAAAAAAAATATCACCGTTCAGACAAGATCTTTTGAACCTGTTAGAAACATGGTGGAACCTCATGCCAGTCTGATTGCTGTTAGAACTCTTGCTACCACTTCTATTAAATTTATTTAGCAACTAAGTTTTCGCTCGCGGCTTCGCCCGCTTGGAATTTTGTCTTTCACAAAAAACTATCGTGCGCGTCCCTGTTTCAAAAACCGGGATAAAACTATCCTATGTCCTTTCCCGGGACTCAAACTATGTCCCTGCCAAATTTCATCAAAATCGGTTGAGTGGTTTAGGCGTGAAAGAGAGACAGACAGACAGAGTTCTTTCGCATTTATAATATTAGTAATAGATATCAGATCTTCGCTTCTCACTCTTACCATCATCGTCGTAATTTTCACACCAACCTAAACTTTCATAAGGTTTCTTAACAGTCATTTCCTACAGTGTAAAGTAGCAATAAATGACGCGAATTCAAATCGCAAATTGAAAATAAAAAGTAAACAATAAACGTAACTTTCGAAGATCTGCGCTAAACCAATAACAGTTAGCCAAGTGTTGATTTCTGTTTCACGACACTATTGTTTGTGATCATTGTCTTTCGGTGATGGATCTGTGTTTGCTTCAATGCTTTCTCTTACTTTGTATCTATTCTCTAACTGTTGATTAATCGCGTAAAACTTCGTAAACAAATTGTCTTTATTATCATCATGTCAGCCAATATAAGATTTTAAACTTTCGCATTCCATTTCAACTATAAAATAGAGGAAAACGTCAGTCTAATTCAGCATTATGATTTCATCAATTAGTCTCTTTCGTCCCGCAATATTTTAGCCGTTATAAAAGTACAATCACAGCAACATAGACCTAGTGGGGTTGAATTACTTCACTGATTAGGCGACGTTCGAGTTACCACGTATTTCTGGTCATGATATTCAATTTAATAGGGCGTTGCTTGATAAAACAAATAACGTCACATGCGTTTTTAATAACCTAGTTATCTCATTAATATTAGAACTGGCTTTTTTGGATTCATGACTGATTGATTACATGGTTTTCCTGAGCGCCAAAGCCAGCCGCCCGCCCAATACTCAAAGTCAAGAAAGTTACATGTTTACGATGTTTATTTCTTAGTTACTTATCTTACCTATGATTCTATTTACTCTGAAGCTATATTGTTTGTGAGAAAATATTTGTTATTGCAAATACAATCTGTATTTGCTAAGAAAGTCACCAATAAGCTAAGCTACGCTTTGAAAGTCACGTTGGCCCTCGGAGTCATGACGTATTATTTTGAGTTCCGAGTGTCTGACTCAGTAGATAGACATATGACGTGTAGGTTAACGCGCCGCTCTCAAGCATCACAGTTATGCAAGGATGATGAAACATGTTTGCGGCAGTAGAAAGTTCCTAAAAGATTTGTTTGACACGTTTCGCACAAGCTACAGACTTTAAAAAGTTTCGAACGTTGTCTTTCCTTTAACCTACTTCTTGAAAGAAGCGCATTGGTGAATCTGAACATAACTAAGCCAATCCTGAAGACAGGATAGATAGATGTTGTTTTTTTTTTTGGGATGGACTGTCCCGAGGGTATGTTTCTAAACTGTCTAAAAAAATCTTGAATCACTACGTGTAATTGCTTGATCGTAGCTAGAGATGACAAAATTTTTGCTATATGCTAGAGTCACGTAGTCAATAAAAAAATCGATACTGCGGGTTTTTGCCAGTGCCTTATCATCGGATATTAATGAATTCATACAAATCGCTAGTTAATACCGGAGATAACGATCGCACGTATGATAAAAATTAGATAAATTTCCTCAGAATTGCATTTTCTTTGCATCATCATTTGGTCAGGTTGTATAACTTGTACACACACAGATACAGGAAAGAAAGACAGCAACTTCGTGTTAAAATAGTTTGGGACTAGCTAGATTAACCTTCACTGCTTTACATCTAAACATAGGCATTTATTAAATACTAGCTTTCCGCCCGCGGCTTCGCCCGCGTGGAATTTTGTCTGTCACAGAAAAACTTTATCGCGCGCGTCCCTGTTTCAAAAACCGGGATAAAAACTATCCTATGTTCTTTCCCGGGACTCAAACTATCTCTATGCCAAATTTCATCAAAATCGGTTGCGAGGTTTAAGCGGGAAAGCGTAACAGACAGACAGACAGAGTTACTAGCATTTATAATATTAGTTGGGATTGCATGTATCCGATTGACTTTTAGAAGTAAGTAGACTTTCCAAAAGTCTATAAGGAAAATCACTTTACAGAATGTTTTTTTTACAACAGTTAGGTATTCCCCGCACACGCAAATTGACAATCTTGCTATCAGTAAAACAACAGGGCAATTTGCCTTTAGGTACTGTACAGCAATACTTTCCGAGCCAGCTTGATTGGTTTCTATAATCGCTTTTTTATGTCTTTTAAATGGGTGTCATTTTCGCAAATCATAACGTTTGCACAAATAGCACTTGCACATTTCACTGCCGCGCTATTGCACGACTTGCACATGACATAACACATTCATACCTTTTGGCAGCTATTAAATGTTCAAAATTTTCGTACACAGCTCCAACAAACAGACAAACACCAGGCAAAACACGTTCGGAGGTATCCCGGCGCTAGATAAGATGGCGAACCCGAAGAAAGACTGCAGTTCTGGAGGATCTAAACCGCGGTTAGGGAGTTAGAAGGAAACCGAATCTTCTTCTGCGGTACAATGTACAAAACTTAAGTCGAAAGCAAAATACGGTCAATTTATTGACCCTAACTGGGTCCTAGTATAAGAATGATTAATAATAGAAGAGAAATTCGTTAAAAAGCTACGTTCAAAATATCTCCTTCTCTCAGTTCAACTGGAGACCCGCAAAAAATAATAAACCAGAATCCCTCGCTTAGTTTATATCCTTTAGCTCCTATAATTTGAATAAGTTAGCCGTTATAAAATTTAAGGTCATATCAAAATTCTTCCATAAAAATCATTGTGACAAAGATAGGTTCGTACTCTAGTGGAGACGGAAACAAAGTCGAGTAGTTATTTTTTTACCATGACCTTATGTGTTCGCCACACGAGTTTCGCTTCTACTATTATTAGTTATTCTTAACTTCCTAGATCCTTTTAGAGGTTAGTTAACTTAGTGCTAGTGTTGCTGATCATCATCACAACAAGATATTTATTGAACCCAGTGACGTGTGAGCTTATTGATTGTTTGTAAAATGTATTTATCAAGGTAAACGTGAAACTTTGATTTTTACTTAACTCTGATGCCAACTGAAAAGTGATATTGAAGTTTTTAAATGCATACAGAAGAAAATTTTACCAAGCAATTTGGAATCGGTTTACAGGTACCTAATGAAGTATTGTAGTATTTATTTGAAATATGTTTTATCTGCCGTATTTGACGTTTTTGATGTTGGTGTAATAACAGATTATAGGATGATATACCTAGCCGCATGAGCTGGCTTAATTAAGGTTTCGTTAATAAGTAGGTATTTACTTATGCCAGGGCTTCCCAAACTTTTTTTACTGTGATGTCCTTGGGAATTTGTAATTTTTTTGAACACAACAAAACAAGAATGAAAGTAAAAAAAGATTTATTTTTACTTTATTGAATGGCAATTAATGAGAAGGATGTGCTAGCTTTTCTGAGCATAGCTTCTCAAAAGGGGGCTTAAGTTTGGAAATTGCCACTCTCATCTCTTTCTCTACCGTTTATTTTCAATCGCCTCACGACCGACGACGCCCTTTGGAGAGATCCGCGAAGCCCCAAGCGCCTCGACGCACAGTTTTGGGTATCCCTGACTTTACACAATTCCACCTTAATCAACCGGCTTCGTCAATCTGTTTAAATAACTATTGATTCTAAAGAATACGCATAATAATGATCCACCTGTTTTCACCTTTACCTTGTTTAAGTGTTTAGTCTTAAATATTTTTTTGGTGGTATGCTAAGGTCTGCTTGAATTTATTGACTGAAGAGAAGTCCTATTTTACCTTTCGTGGTTGTATTTTCCGTTTCAGTGACGGCTAGTTTCTCGTATTTTTAAGTTTTTTTTATATTTTAATTTTTAACTACTCTAAAATATACAATCATAAACAAAGTGCAATAGACAAATTAATATTGTTAGAACTGTTTTATTGTTTTTATTTTATTTTATCGATACAATTTTTTATACATTTTGTATTACAGTTCTTTTTAACACCCAAGGTTGTTACTAAGTGCTAAAACATTGAAGTTAATCCAAATACTATTGGCTACATTCCAATGTTACGATTGATATCTGACATTGCATCGAATATGCTCTATATCGGTAGAAATCTTTGCGTTTTGGCAAACAATTGTTTGTAAAGATTCAAGTAATTGTAATACTTTTCTAAGAATAATCTTTTTTACTTTCTTAACTCTTCACAAAATTTTAAGTGTCACAAATTTTTCTTCTGCTTCTTTTTACACAATGTCAAGTATTATTAGTTGATTTACATCATTATTTCTATAGTTAAAGTTTGTAAAATGAAGTATTGTAAGTTCACCACAAAAATGATTAGCATCTCAAATCTCAATTAATTCTTCTGCTCTTCCATAATAACAATGAGGTATGAACCTCAACTGAATGGTCTTTTGAAACTATCGATTTTAATAT